CCAGTGAAAGAAGATCCACTAAGAGAAGCCCTGTACAGTATAAAGAATTAAAAGGTGCTGAGATAAGGAATTTGAATACCCAGATGAAGTTCACAATCCTGCCCACTAACACAAAAACCCAGTCCTTGTTCCTCTAAACTTTCTTCATCTCAGTGATATAATTTAAGCTGCAAGTGTTCAACGACAGTCAGAAATCCTTGCTGGTCCATCGCAAATCACCCACAGACCTACCCCCTTGAGATTTACCTTTTGCCCACCCTCGTTTGACGCACTGCAAAATGGCCGAGGGCAGCCTCAAGACAAGTGCCCTCCATGGCCCACTCTATTCTCCCGGCTTTAAGCATAAGACCAGCTGTGCTGGATTAAACTGAAGGCTTATTTAACCTAGGCTTTGACTCGCACAATGGCTAACCAGATGCCAAGCAGGGGGTATGAGAAAACAGCACCTCCCAACTCATGTTCCCTCACTACTGACATTTGGAAGGGAAATACTGCTGGCAATAAATCTGCATCACGACAAGTAGCCAGCGGAAGCTCCATTCTCTCTATGCTTACATTTACATTATACATTTGCACCAATTTCAGTTGAAACAGAAACATGCTCAGAAAGCAGTCCATAAGGAGGGAGAGTGGGCACTTAAGCACTATGGGCAGGTTTCTATGAATCTTGTTGAGTTCCAGGCTTGCTTCAGAGGTTTCAGTTGTCAGCTTATTTCTACATATCCAGTACACACATAAAACTGTGCTATATGCTGTCAAACCACTCCTCGATCTAGCCCAATAACTGTTGGAACAATACCAATCTTGCATGCACTAACACTAGGTATCAAGGAAGGTTATAGCCTAATGTGATTGTCCTTTGCCACTAATTTAATTGGTAAAGTTATTTTCACACCTCTGGCATTTGAGGCAAGCCACTGTCCCCTCTTCCTGGCTGTTGTTGTTGTATGCTTCCTTTGTTTTGCTGATAGCCTCCTTTCCTCTTCCTCTAGCCACCCTCCAAGCAGCAAGCATGCAAGGTCTCCTGCATGTTAAAGACTCCACTTCCCCACTTTTTTCTTCTGACTGTAACTACAGATGGTAAGTGTAAGTAAATAAATATTTTCCTACTTTAAATGCTTCTAGGGCAATGTTCCTTCTAATACGTGTTTGTGCGTGCATGGACAGAGCTCCATCTGCATTGCTCACCAGCAGCCAATTTGTTTACTTCTGCTTCTGGATGAAACCCCGCCTGCACACGGGGTGAGGCTCCTGAGCAGCCAGACAGAAAATTACAGGGAACATTGATTTCTTTTTTCACCATACAAAGTGCTAGTTTACGTGCAAACCAGGGAAGGTGTTGTTTGATGAGACTGGGCTGATCTTGCCATTTTGTGTTGTTGTTTCTGCCTTATACTCTGCTAATTAAACGAATAACCAGATTTCCCCAATAACAGCTACTGTGTCTGGTAGCCACTTTCTAGGGGCCTCAAACAGAGGTCTCTCTGAGTAGCTACTACCTGAATTCCTTCCACAGTCAGACTAGACTAGGCAACTTTTTTTGCATGAAAGGCATGAACTATACCACCATGTTAGGGTCCCTTCCCGAGTAAAGGCCAGCTTGAACAAATAAAAGTTGACACACTCAATATCTTAGATTTTTGAGGCATACTTCACTTAAGTAGAGCAAGAAGGGATCTGTGGAATACACATGTTAACCTATAGAGCTATGTGGGTAGGATTAACCCTAAGTTTGAGTAACCTTATAGCTCAAGGCCTTGGCTGCAGAGGAATTCCAACCCATTAGGAAAGCAAAGCCACGTGGCTGAAAGAGCTTCCCAGAGGGTCACAGTGCTTACACAACATTTTTCCCCACAACCTGACATGTTCTGCTATAATTCAGCAAGAGGGGATTTTAGCCTGGCTAGGAAAGGCTGGTACGGGATACAATGTTGCTTCAGTTCTAACTGTGCTTGGGAGAGAGTAGTGTACTGTATGGAGATACTGTACAAAGAAGAAATAAGTGGACAGGAAATACAGGGATGCTGGGGCTACAAGCTGCAAGTAAGGGCCTGTTCGGACAGGGGGATTTGGAGCCGCCTGGTTCACACTTAAAATGTTCTTTTTCTTCAATGCCACTGATTTTGTATCTCTCACTTGAGTGATCCTTCTGGTCACACTGGAGATTTTATTCCCCTGCGAGAAGGGTCCACACAAGTCTTTGGATGACTGGTTCATGCATGTGTAAGTGTACCTGGTTGACTCATGAGTTATTTTACTCGTGAGTAAGGAGGAGGTGGGAGGGGAGCAAGCTTGCGGTTGTGGTACTTGCGCAAGGGGAAAATGTTGGCGTGATGCCTTTTCTAGCAGCCCTCATTCAGCCGCCTGCAGTGGCTTTCTTTTGTTATTATTGTTAAATAAATCAAGCGGCGCATTGAAAGAGCAATGCATCAATCTTGCATAGTATTAGAATTAAACAGAATACATGCCCTAGGACTGTGCCAGAAAGCTGCTGGAAAAAAAAGCTCTGAAAAAGGCAGGAGAGACTGACCCAAGTAGGAACACATGTGGATATCATCATTTGGTTCAAACCAGATCAGACCAACAGTGATCCATAAACTAGTTTGGACTGGTCCTAAGATAAAGCGAGATCATTCAGGAATTCACAGGCACCGATTTCAAAATCAGCAAGGCCAATATTTGACAAAAAGGGGCATGGAGAGCAAACAGCCCTCCCGTTTTTAAGTCTACATTGGTTCTAGAATAGGAAAGAAAAGGCACATTGTTTTTAGACTATATTAATTCTGGAGATAGAGATATACCACTTGCTTGTTCCTCTCCAAATAATTACCAGCATTTGTTTGGAAAATTGTAACATTTTCTCACATGCTTCCTTCATTATTTGCAAAAAGGCATTTTATATTTGGATTTTTTTATGGTGCATGGAATTCTTTGACAGACTAGTTTAGCAAGTCCATGTAAAGGGCAGATTAATCAACAAAATATAATTTCATCAATGGACAACCCTAAAGAAAAACTATTGGCAGAATTTGGCAGTACTAAAGATCCTCCACATGATTCAGTTCTGGGTGTCAGAAACAATTCTGCCAGAACTAAAAAGGGATAGTCAAAACTTTATGGTACAGAAAGGTCTCCTCTCACTTTCCTTCTCTGAGGAGATCAGAATTTCTTTTGGGCTCCCTCCCCTTTGACACATGTCTGCTCATTATATTCTTCTTTTTCTAAAAAAAATCCTCTACAGCTAGCTTTTCCTTCACCAAAGGGCACAAGTGCATTGGTTATCAAAGTCATCTAAAGGGAAAGAAATACAAAATTCTTTTCTAGCACAAGCAGCAGGATGGCATTATTGGGCACATTGCAACAGATGTGAGGCATGACCTGGAAGAGAGGGAGGGGCTGCCTGCCTACAAGGAGGTGTTAGCACAGCATACATGAAACCTGCTATCTTAAATTTCACGAGATACTCAGTTTAAGCAAAGCAAACAAAGAACAGCAGCAGCAAAAAACAAGCCCCAACCCTTCCTACAAGCAAGCTGGGTCAAACTAGCTCTCTCTGTCGAAGTCATGACTAGTGCTTAATTAGGGGGGAAGTGGAGTCACAAAAATATTCTGCACCAAGTGGAATTTATAGGAAATGTATTCTCGAAGGCTTTCACGGCCGGGATCTGATGGTTGTTGCAGGTTTTTCGGGCTGTTTGGCTGTGTTATGGAGAACCGCCAAAACACGGCCAAACAGCCCAAAACACCTACAACAACCATGTACAGAAATCTTTTCAGCACACATACTCCAGCACGTTTTTTAAAAGTGTTAAAACTGTGCTCCACTTTTACTCAAATTCTGCATATTAAAAGCTAAATTCTGCAATCTAAATATTAAGCAATTTAAACAAATCTATGTAGATTTCTTTTTAGCCTGCCAGATGTTGAACTTGCTTCAAGGAGACAGAAGGTTTTTCGGAGGCTAATCCATGACCGGTCCTCTGCAAAAAAAATCGACTGTGAATTCTGGTAGGCTTTTTTTCAAATGACCAGTAGCCTAGAACCTATGTGTTCTATTTAGAACATTTGCACCAGAACCATAATCAGACGTTTTGGAACTGTAACTTGCTGAAACACGGCTCCTGCTGGGGAAGAGATGTCATCTGCTCTACCTGAGGCAGGGAACCTTTGACACTTTAGATGTTTGGATTGCATCCTCCCACATCACCTTTGGCCCTGCTTGGGTTGCTGATGGGAGACTAAAACGACTCCTCTTGCAGGAACAGAAATCAAAGCAAGAGTCACTGACTTAACACTGAGGCCTAGCAACATGTCACATGTAAACAAATCACAGCAACCATCTCTACTTTTTATTTTACTTCAAGAAGAAGTGCTTTGGGAAGAAGAGTGGAGGAGTATAAATAGGCAGGCCCTTCAGCCAGTTCCCTCTGGGTCTGCTTCTCAGGTCTTCCCTCTTTTGGGAAGGTGACACCCCAAACTGCCTTCTCCAAGAGGGTGGGAAGAAAACAGGTTGTCAGAATTTGATTCTATGTGTTCACATGCATTGTATAGTTTGGACCAAAGAAGGCAGACTCACAAATGTATCCTTCAGAAACAACCGTCACTCCATGAATGATGTGCCTCCTTCACGTGGATTCCCCATATGGGGAAAATTTTTTAAAAGCATGAAACACACTCATGCAGAAAATGAGATATGACTCAAAATAAATTTAGATGGAACAGAACACCAATACATAATTTAATATACACACATAGGCTCAGGAGCTATCAAATGCACTGGCAACCAGGCTGAAGCATTGGGAGGAAAAAAATTATACAGCAGTCTTCTCCAACCTGGAGTTCTTTGGATACGCGAAACTACAACTACCATCTGCTTGGACAACAACAGTGTTGGTTGGTAGGATTTGTAGTTCCCCTTAGTTGGGGAGCTCTGGGTTGGCAAAGACTGGGATCTAGCACACAGGCAAGAATGCAACTGCCGCAACCCCCTCCCTTATTACCTTATGGAGTTGCCCGAGGCCATCTCCCAAGAAGGCAATGGTATGACCCGCTTCTTCCATGGCAGCCACCGCTGTCAATCTTGGCAATGTCGTCAGGAGCGCTTCAGCCACCACTGGTTTCCGGCTTGCGATGGGACTAGGGGTGTGTTCATCTCCGCAAGGGTAAGCCTCGGGGGACTCCTGAAAAAATGAACGAAATGAAAAACAAGAAGGTTGGGATGCAGCTACTGGCAAGATAAGAGAGTCAACTGCCCCCCCCAATAAAACCCAGGCTGCACCTCCCCGTCCTCTTTCTCTCACCTTGGGTAGGGAGTTGCAGCGGGAGTTCACGCCATACTCAATGGCAGCCTCCTCCTCCTTTGTCTCGCCCATTCCAGCCAAGGTGTAACACAGCTGCCGCGTCCGCTCCAGGGCCGCGTTCACCTCAGTCAAGCTGTAGGAACACAGTGCCGTCCGTGCCGTCGGAGACGCGGTGGAGCCCTGCCCGGCGGCTAAGACAACGAAGAGCGTTTTCCCTTTCCCGCCAAAACCAGAGGCCAGATGCATTGCTTGAGCCAGGTTGTAAACGGTCCCTCTGGCATCTCGGCACTCCAGAGGAAGCTCGACGTAGGAATAGAGGTTGGTGTCCTCCAGGCAGCTCCGGGAGAGGTAGGCCCGATACTCCATTTGGGCCTTTGCTCCGCGCCGAGTGAACAGGAAGTAGACGTAGCCGTCGGAAGCAAAGGCACCCACGTAGCTATTGTTGTAGTCGGAGAACACCAGCTTGCCCATCCCTTCGTTGGAGAAGGCTTGAGGTCCTTCCAGCTGCCGGATGGTGAACGGAGGAATCCCTCCCGAGAGCTTGGCTGTCAGCCCTCGACCCACAAAGAGCAAATCGCGCCCACCATGCCGACCCACCAACCCCACCGTCGACACCCGGGGCTCATTGGCTGCCACAAACTGGTTGTCACCAGGGTCCTCGGGGCGGTACAGCACTTTGTTGATGTCCGCGAGGGATCGCTTCTCACACACTCCCTGGAAGAGCTGCCCACAAACCACCAGCTCCCCGGCTTGCTCGTTGGGTAACAGCAGCTTATTGGAGTTGTCTGTGAGCTGGGCCTGCGGACACTCTTGAACGTCACGGAAAGGCAGACAGTCGGGACTGTCCTGGGCCGGCCCCGTGCGTACTTTCCTCACCAGTCCCACCTCCGGGCTCAGTTGGTACAAGGCATTCACGGCGCCCACATACAATGTCCCCGTGTTCTGAGCTTGGGCCAAGTGATTGAAGGTAGAGTTCGGGACAGAGAAGGATGGGAAGGAGGGGGACCGTGCAGCTGAGTGAAGCGGCAGCAGGGGGGTTAAGGTGACCATCAGGCACAGCAGCAGGCCGCCTAGGAACATGGCCCAATCCTGGACAAAAGGAGGAGAAGAGAGACGATGTGACTGGCACTCAGCACACACAAAAAATCCTAAGCAATCCATTGCAGACCCCAGGAGACACAAAAATCTCCCGGCTTCTAGTGGGAGTGGGGCAAACATAGGGCCAAGTTACTTTTTTGGGATCACAGCTCTCGGAATCCCACAGTCCATGTGGACACACATCATGCGGGCTGTGGGATACTCGGAGCTGTAGTCTAAAGAAAGTAACTTTCCTCACACTTGGGATGGAAGTGAGGATTCAAATGATGCTCACACTGCCCTACCATTCCTATTTACCAGTAGTCCTGGTGGTTCTGCAAGCCCGACTCATCCCAAATGCAGTCATACGAACACCACATTCTAGGCACTATATTGGGACGTTTGTATCCCTCAGATGAGTTTGGACTGCAACTCCCATAATCCCTCTCTTTTTTTTCCTATGCTAGCAAGTTCTGATGGGAGTTGTAGGCCAGAAACATTCAAAAGGCCTCCGTTGTCTAGTCCTGTACATTATATACCACCTCTCATACTAGATGTCATAAAAACAAACATTTTGCGTACAATAAGTTTACAAATTCCATTTGAATGCAGTATATAATGACAGACCAAACTACTGCTGACTTTCTTTCTTCCATTGCCATGTTCAGACCACTAACCTCTCGCCCGCTAACGTTCCCGAATCTTTCTTTCCTCCAGACCTTTATTTAGTCCAGGACTGCTGGAGATTTTCTCAACCTCTTATTTTCTGAGACCAATAGTTCCCCGCCTTGGGTCACTAAATGTTCTTAGACTAAAACTCACAGAAATCTGGGCCAGCACAGCTAGTGGTAAATTCTTCTGGGAGTTTTAGTCCAAGAACATCTGGAGACCCAACATTGGAAACCACTATGGGAGACCAAAATTATCCTCATTTCTCATAACCTCATATCCTCAAGTCTTCCTCCAGTTGAAGAAGCTTCTCATGACCATGCAAGAGGTCAGAAACCCACAGCCTTCCACATGATACTAGACTGCAAACCAGGATGGCCAGCCCTTATCTAGCACATGGTGGAGTCCCAGAAGTTCCCCACACAGTTAAAAGTGCATAATAGTAACTCACTTCATAGAGACTTTTTTGCTTTCCATGCTGTTTCTAAAATGTGTTAACGCTGATCCATGTTCTGGCAGGCCCTGGGCAATAATTCACACCACAGACATACAACATACAGTCTCCCTGAAGGATAGTGGATTCTGCTGAAGCTCTGTATTTACCCCATCCCTTTACTGGGGCAAAATGAGCCTATTCTGGTGAACCTGGCAGAGACACAGTAGGGAGTTGCTTTTTGGAGCAGATACGGCAAGCTGACAGGACTCCTTTAACTATTTACTTGTGGATACCTCTCATGACTGGTAAGGTTAGAACTTTACAAAGAAGCCTCCAGAAATATATTATAGACCTATATTGGATTGTTGCTAGGTGGTTTTTTTCTTTGTTTTTTATAGTGTGCCATTAACTTTGCATTGTTGTCTTGGTTGTTTGTTTGTTACTCGTGTTATTTTTGTTGTTGTTCATTGCCCAAAGTACTACTTGATTGGATGGTATAAACATTCAATAAATAAATAACTCACACGCAGTTTTTGCACAGCAAATGACTGAGATCAGGAAATCACGATGCTAGACATGCAAAAGTTATGCCCTTGATAGGGTCCCATTCACCTTGGCCATAACGCCTGTAACAGAGCCTGCTTCCCCTCTGCCCTGGATGTAATCCATGCCACATTCCAAGAGGAGATGCTGATCCGTGTCTTGCATCTGGCTTTCATTGCCAGGAAATGATAAATGTTACACAAGGAGTCTGGGCAAGCATCCGTTCCCTCCTCACCCTTCCCTAAGACCAGCAGAACCAGACCATCTTGTGGACAAAATAAGAGCCATTCTGCCAAATGGATGACATTTCAAGAAGACAAAGGAAGATTTCTTTCCACTCGGGCCAGCACGATGCTTACGACTACAGATGGGATCCTGGTTACTATCAATGAATATGCATAGGGAACCCGAGAACGAAAAGTCTGGATGTCTCTGCAGCAAAAGAAGTGTGATCTTGTTTTACAACAGAGCCGTCCCTAGTCAGCACTGCTAGTAGCAAGGAATGATGTGAGTTGCAGTCCAAGAACATCTGGAAGGGCCACAAGCTCTCCGGGGCAAAGCCTTACTTGTGGAGTTCCTTTAGGGCAGAACCCCAGAGTTCTGCTACATTTCTTTCACCTTCCTGGCCTCTCTGGTCCCTCTGCTCTTCGCCTTCAATGGTCACTCCTCAAAATCCCAGTCCTTAATCCCACCCATTAAAGGGGCCTAGTTAAGATTCTCCTTCTTCCACTATTTCCCACAACAAGCCTCAGCATCTGCCCTCTGCCCTTACAAACTATCTTCCACCAGGGATTCACAAGACATTTTCATGTCTGAGGGAAAGTCCTAATGCCACACCCCATCCACGTAAATCCACAACTTTAGGAACTCATGCCCAATATCTAGGCCCCAATTCCTGCCTTGCCTGCTCCTGCCCTTCATGGCACCATGAGAAGTTACGTTCCTTTGACAGCCTTGCCCACGGTAGCCCCATTGAGGGGATGGAAGACAGATGACAAGCGACCCTGAAGAGGAAGTGGAGGGAGGGGCGGCTTTCTCTCAAGCAGCTTTCACCTTGGACGTGAGCTCTATCTCCCCCCCCCACGCGCTTTTCCGACACTGACTGGGATTTAGCTGTCCAGAGAAGGCCGATTAAGCCTCGTCCCATTGGAATTAATCCCCCCACCTCGGCTGGCGAGGTCACTGCTCAGACACCAGACACAAAAGAGGAGGGAGAGGGGGTGGGCTTGAATGGCACACAGATGATTTCAGTTTCACTGCCCACCCTTTAGTTTCACACATACTGTACACACATTGTACTTCTTATTAAGTTTACTCATTTCAAGAGACCTGCAAAGACGACAACTACAAAAATGCACGATAAAGAGCAAGCAGAGTGCAGGGGATGTGATCAATGAAGCCTCTCTTACATTATTGTTGGCAGGGGGAAGAGGAAGAAGGGGAAAAAACAAAGAAGACAGAAGTCGACAGAAGTAAGAAAAAAAAAGGACGTCCCACACAATTTGTTGGTTTACCTACTTAATTCAGGAATTAGAAGGGCCCTTTAAAAATGGTGTTGGCTAGCCACCCTGAGCACCATCTTTTTAGTGCAAAGATAGGATAAAAAGATAATTAATTAATTAAAGCCTATTTGGGCAAGAGGTGTGAGCCTTGTGAGGTCACCTGCACATGGGCAGGAGGAGTTTTAAGATGAGGATGAATGTGCAAAGAGAGGAATGCTTCCAGCAAAGAGACAGCAAATTTGCAAGGCTTTCTGCCTTCACCTCCACCCAGAGAGGCAGAAGCCAACAGGAAGAGGGCACTTAGGAGGGAGGGTAAAAATCCCCACCCCCTGCAGCCCATCTCTGCTCCAATTCCCCTGACACAGCTGTGGCCTCGACAGACAGATGTGGAGGTGTTTATTTCCCAACCCCCTTCCCTAACAGCAGAATTCCCAACTCAGCATCTCTCTCTCTCTCACACACACACACACAGACAGACACACACAGACAGAGACAGAGACAGAGACACAGACACAGACACACACACACACACACACACACACACAAAACTATCAACCTTTCAAGTCTCATTGCCCAGCAAAGGGAACCATCTGCCTCCTGGGGGGGGAGAAGGGAGTGGAAGAAGAACGCCAGGCACGCAACATCCTGGACAGAAATCAAACCTTCTGTCTCTTTACCTACACCTCACATCCACCCCCTCCCCTGATACTACCAGCACTTCATATCCCCCACCCCCACCTGAGGCAGGGAGGGCAGGCAGGATGTGATGGAGACCATGAGATCCTACAGTAACCCCTCCCCCAGGCTATCCCTCCCAGCAACAGCTGGAAGGAGGTAGAGGCAGCGGTGTGGCAACAGACCCCACCATATGCACACAGATGCATGTGCCTGCACAACCACGCACGCACGCACAGAAAAACACAAATCCCTAGGCGGGATGAGAGAGGCACAGGCATAGACAATGGCACAGGGTGGGGCTGTTAAAGAAACAAAAGACACCCTCTTCTTACTTCCAGGAAAAAACCAACATAAACAGCAAACAAATAAATAAATCCAGGAATCTTGGCTCCCCATTGCACAATATACCTTCTGGCACACCAGGGCAAGCTAGGGTTTGTTTGTTTACCAATTTAAAAAAAAATCAAGCGTTTCAGCCACAAGACCTCCACATCCTTACTAGTGTAATAATTTACTAAGGCTAGACCAAATGTCCCAAAATGTGCAAGCTTTCAAAATCCACAGCTCTCTTCAGGGGGAAAGGTGTTACAAACAGCAGTGCAGATGGGAACCGCAAGTTGAACCCGAAGTCATGACGGCTGCATAGCCTCTTGGGGCGGAAGCTCAAAGCCGTTAGCCACAAATATGGGCACGGGCCCCAGGATGTAACAAAAGCATATCGAGGGATTGCATCTTGTACCCGTACCTGCCAACATCTAGTACATGCCAGAGAATGATGTCACCTCCACAGAGTTCAGTGCTCCAAAGAAACCCTGTTAACTCCTGCCAGGTCTCCTCCGCCAAGCCAGGCCAGGAGCTCGAGTCTCCCCGTCGGTTCCTGCCTCCCTGATTGAATCCCACTTTGCTCCCGGACCTGTTTCGCCCCCTGACACCTGTGGTGCTTACCGTCGGGTTGCGCTGGGGGCATTTCAGCTCCCACATGGTCGTGTCAGGCAGGAGCCGCAGCCGCAGCAGCAGCAGCAGTCAGACGCCACGGACATCCCTAGGGGTGGAAGAAGGCGATAAGACAGCGTGTGAGTTGACATGGAGGGGGTGGGGGGGTTAGATGGCGATCCAAGGCTGCCATCAATGGCTGCTGTGATCCGTTCCCCCCACCCCATCAAAGCCCCCACTGTTTCCATCTCGGCTGTGCCATCACAGAGCCACACGGGGCTCAAGGGGCCCATTGATCCCACAGCAATAAGAGTCCTCACAGCATTTTAGACACATGACCCTGGCACCCCCCCCCAGAGAAAAAGATAAAGAGGGCAGAGGGAAGGGGAGGCGGTGGGTGCAAAACGGACGGCGCTGCTGGAGTAAAAAGAAGGCAGCTATTACAAGCCAGGGTATCAGCTGATCGGATGAGTACGGGACAGAGATGGAGGGGGGGGGAAACAAGACAGGTCAGGACTTGTGTCTTGCCTTGGGTGGGGAACAGAGGGATCCCTTGTAATTTGTTTGCACACAGTTATTGATTAATTAGCTGGCTGGACAGCTCAGTGTTTTAGGTACAGTATCTGGCTGGGGAGCCAGAGGTTGGGAATTCGATTTCCCCACTCTCCCTCCCGGGAGAAGAGTCAGCCTGGGTGGCCTTGGGGGCAAGCTGCACCGTCCTAGAGCTGACCCCCAGAGGACTCTCTACCCTGATAAGGGTTGCCAGAAGTACAAATGGTCTTGATGGCACATGATGATGATGATGGAGAGGATGATTAATTGGAGAGGGCAGAAAGAGATACAAATGTATGGGCATGGCCTTTCCTGATTTGCTAGGATCTAATGAGACCTATTCATGTTATGTTTGGGTTTTGAAGTGGAGAGGGGGAAATCACAGAGTAGAACAGCAGTGGCCCAAAGTATTTTAAGAAAGGCAGAACCCATTTCCAAATTTAGATTTCCAAACGTTGCTGGCCATTGTGCTGGGCAGAGAAGCCCTCTTAGTTGCAACAAGACATTGCACACGGTTTGAGGTGATATATGGAGGTCCCAACCTACTAATACGGAGGGGTGCAATCTATGAGAATGTTCTCCAGCACAAGAATTTGTTGCAGTGAACTCCTCCGGATTCTTTTGACAGAGCTGCCCGGAGGTTGGCAAACGTACTTTTCAGGATCCTCATCAGGCTGGTTTAGGGATTTGGAGAACAGTCATTTTTCAAAGCTCTTGCAGCTGGCACAGCAGTTTCCAGCAAACTAGGATTAGATTTTTGTCCATCTGAAACCCTGCTGCCAAGAATGCCTCATTGCAAAAGTACTTGTGGAGCGTGAAAGGGAGCTCGGCCTGACTGAGCAAACCTCTGGCTGGATTCTGAGCTTATCCTACCAATACCCCACACAGACTCAATGCTGGCCAGCAACGATCCTGCTAATCCTTGCTGGGTCCCGACACCCTCTTCCAACCTCAATCCCAAGAAGCAGCTCTCTCATCCCAGCAATTATTATATCTAACCCCCCCATACACACACATACACAACATACACATATGGTCCCCATAATCACAGCATGCCCGCAAATCCATTAAAGCCCCACCGATCCTTCTTTGCTAACTCTAGGGAGGCTGCAGAATCTGGGACATTTAGCTGGAGTAGCGACAGGTGGGACATCCCCTGAAAGGGAGTGGGTGCAAGGTTCAGGATACAACCCATGAGAGCAGTGGGAGAAGCGGAGGACATTCTGAGAACCAAACTGATATTCTGCATACTCAAAATACAGATATATTTTATATTTTGTACACACTCGTATCTACACCATATCTTCTTCCAAAGGTTCAGGGAGAAGGATTTGAGGTGTTGCTTCATATAGGTCTCCCCAGGAATCTGAGCCCTCCTATTTTGGCTCCCAGCTTTCCCGCCCCCCTCACCGCTCTGCCCAGCAAAGTTTAAAACAGGCCAGCATCACACCCCTGGACAAAACCCTTGTCCTGCACATCTGTTTCCTCCCCCCTCAGGGCTCCCAGCTAGAGCCCCGAGTCAAGGGTGGCCTCCCTTCAGCTGGAAGAGGCAGAGGCTGGGAAGGTGTCCGGGTCAGCAAGAAGCTGCAGTTCCTTGGCGGGCGCCCAGCACAGCCACCCCCACAGCGGGAAGCAGGCGTGGGGAGGGCTATGCCAGTCTAGGGGCTGCTCAATGCCCCTTTTGTCTGCCTTGGGATGGAGGGGCAGGGACAGAGCCACCTCTGATAATAGTCGAGGGGAGAAGGAGAGAGTCTGGCTCCGGGATCTCTTCCCGAGCATGCTTAACCCCACAAAGACCAAAGCAAACCCAACATGGGCAGAGAAAAAGGAAATGCTTCTAGGTGGGGTAAGCGGGCACCCTCCCTCTCTCTCTGTCCTTGTTCTGGAGGTACACCTCCATACTCCCCGCTGAGACTTAGCCATCAAAGAGATATACTGTAGGAAAGTGGAAGTGGGGGTGGTGGGGTGGGGTGGGGGAGGAGAGGCTGTGCAAGGCAGG